CCCCCCCCCCACTCGAGCGCGTGTTAAATGTGAGAGAACGGCCTTTCAGGATAATACTATTTTATTTTGCAAAATAGCACACAACAAAATAGCAGCATTCTGACAGCGTCTGACTTCTTCAGGTTAAAACACATCACTGTTTCGACAAGGGCATATTCTCCGTGTGTAAATGAGTCCGCCCGGTTATACAACGATTTGTCTGCATCGCCTTCGTCCAGCACCACCTTTCAATGAGGGGGAACCACCATGATGTGTGCGAGAGATGTATGTGCGAGAGCTGTGCCATGGATGTGCCAAGCGAGTACGTGTGAGCCCGGTACGTAACATGAAGGCGCTCGGTAATGTCACACAATAGTCACAAACGAAAGCTACCAGGGACTTCAACAGAATTTTTCAAGCACCTAACTGCCGAAGACATCACCAGTAGAGCGCAAGGTGAGAGTACGTACTCGGCTTATTTCCATCAACTCTGAACTCCATAAACCCATTATAATCGTGCATCATTTAAGAGTAAGTATCATCACGCGATCATCAGCAGCAACAGCAGCAGGAGCAGCAGCAAGCGAAATGATGCGATCATGCATCATGTGAGATGATGCATCATTTCGTATCAGTCTACGACCAAAGGCGTTTGGACTATCATACACGAGTAAATGGCCGTTTTCATCTCATTCAATCGAAATTAAATGATAACTTGGTCGCAAACTTGCCACCTGAAATGTGTACGACATAGCGCTGAAAGTTCAGGATATCCACAACCTTCCTGAAAAGGTTCACAATAATGCATAATAGTTCAAATCTAATCGATAAATATCACCATCTATTTCAGCAATTCTATATCAGCTCCTTCTTCTCGAAAGCGATTAAAACTCGTTATCACGAGGGACGGCGAGAACGAGCGACAGATGGCATTATCTGCTGCATGCTATATAACCTAAGATTACCTTCTTGACGAAATTATTGCTATTTTCAAAATGCACGAAATACGACACAGTTCTAAGTTCTACAGTTCATTCTGTAAATACATCAGTACATAACAAGCCTGATTTCGTCGCAAAGCGCCTATTTGCAGCTCATTTATCTCAAAACTGCATGCGAACGCCTAAAATTTATACAAGAGCCTTAACAGCTTCTGGTCGTGGTAGCATAAAAGGCATTTAACCGCACTTAGTAAGGTGGGAGAGGACATAAAGACCAAGTTCCTCACTTGCCCGTAAACGGAGGGTTGATGCTATCGTTATCGATTTAAGCGTCTTCTCTCGGTGATGTGACAAAAAATTAACAGGACCCAGACAACTGTCGCGGGTTTCTTCGCCACAGCTGCCCTTGGGCATTTTGCAATGTCTCATGAGCTTTCCAGTCAGTCGGGCCAAAAGATTTCGCCCGCCTCTTCGAATCGTACCCAGTGGCGACGGACCACGGAACTAGAATATTTCACCTTGACCATGAAGGCGGTCGTTTTTAGCAGTCTTTACGGGTAACATCGCCGCGTAGTCAGACGGCGCCCGGCCCCAGAGCAGCTACCACGTGCCCGACTGGGACCCGCATGCTAAGCAGGGTTTTCTTGCGACTGGTTTTGTGGTCCGTGCGCTGCCCCTTGCCGAGAGATTTCGCCGCGGACTGACCGTCAGGAGCAGCCACTCTGTCCGCGCTCAAGCAGGAGTGCAGGAGATGCGTCAGGGCAGTATATTTTCTGTGATTAGTAAACATTGGCCGATGTATAAGCAAGTGAAATTGGCATGGTGCATTAAATGCAAAGGGAGGTTGTTCGTCCTGCATTGGAACGTTTGTTTGTACTCCCTCAACCCTTTAAGTCTACACGTTATTTTGTTTTAAGATGTGCGTAGTTCCAGGTTGTAATATCTTGGTGAACGAGCAAAATAACTGAAGGTAGCTTGGAGATGTGCGCAAGATGCAAGGTTCCACACAGCGGAAATTCAGCCAAGTATGAAAGTGTAAGCTGAAATTGAATCAATACGCGTAGCACACAAAATACACGAATGGCATACAAGGGTACGACAGCTCGCAGAGCCGGCCTGCTGGTGTCCGTCTGACCTTAGCTGAGGCGGTCCGTACGGCGCGGCTGGCTGCTGCTGGCGACTGTGGCCGGCCGGCCGGGCCGGCGCGGCGCCGGGTCTGCATTTGCAGCCTCGCGGGCCCGCAGGCGCCGCGCGCGGGGTGAGCGACCGGGCTCCGCGGCCGAGACGCGCCGACTAACGCCTGGGCAGCGGGTGGAACGTGCAGTGTCCGGAGGAAACGGGCAACAGCGCTACGCAACGTCCGAAGGAAACGGGTTACAGCGTTAGGCAACGTCCGGAGGAAACGGGTAACAGCGTTAGGCAACGTCGGGGGGGGAAACGGGTAACAGCGCTAGGCAACGTCCGGAGGCAACGGGTAACAGCGCTAGGCAACGTCCGGAGGAAACGGGTAACAGCGCTAGGCAACGTCCGGAGGAATGGGATAATAGCGCCAGGGGACGTGCGGAGGAAAAGGAATAACAGCGCCAGGAGACGTCCGGAGGGAAGCAATAACAGCGCCAGGAGGCGTCCGGAGGGAGGGAATAACAGCGCCATGAGACGTACGGAGGGAAGGAATAACAGCGCCAGGAGACGTCCGGAGGAAAAGGAATAACAGCGCCAGGAGACGTCCGGAGGGAAGCAATAACAGCGCCAGGAGGCGTCCGGAGGGAGGGAATAACAGCGCCATGAGACGTACGGAGGGAAGGAATAACAGCGCCAGGAGACGTCCGGGGGAAAAGGAATAACAGCGCCAGGAGACGTCCGGAGGAAAAGGATAACAGCGCCAGGAGGCGTCCGGAGGAAAAGGAATAACAGCGCCAGGAGACGTCCGGAGGAAAAGGATGACAGCGCCAGGAGGCGTCTGGAAGAACAAAATAACAGCGCCATGAGACGTCCGGAGAGATGGAATCACAACCACGGGGACGTCAGGAGAGGCGGAGTTGCGGCCGGAGGGGGGGGGGGGGGGTAGACAGATCAGACAGAGACCGGATGACCACATCTTGAGACGGTATGTAACAGCAATGCAAGTGCCATAACCATCAGCAATTTTCTTCCATCTCATGCGAAATCTACAAGATATTTCTCATGCGCGATAGTGTGTTTGATGACAGATACCAACGTAAGGTTTGTTTTCTTTAATTCTCTAGGTTCATACAGGGTGGGCAAATGTAGTTGTTCTTGGTTGTCATAAGATCGGTTGAATTAACTGTAAAATAGCTGATAGTCGAATGCCTCCACAAATACAAAACCATGCCGTTTTTTTGCCGCTTTTCATGCCGTTTTTTGGTACAAAATCCATGCTTTTTTGCGTTAGTTTACTTGATTAAGTATGAGAGGAAATGTTACACATTTGAAAAGATTAAAGCAGGCATCGGCATTTATGAAATGAGCTCACTTATCACTATTTACATATTTTTACGGGGAAAAGACTTTTCTAGACAACATGCTTTCTCTGTTTAGCAAATGTACTCCTAAAATGTCATTGTTTGATTATGTCATCGTGTCATGCGCAGGGAACTTTCAAAACATTGATTGGGAGTCAATTGACGGCCCCTATGCCTGGAAAGCGTGCTCACGAACGCCAGATGCGTGCGACTCGGCAACCGCTTTTTGTTGGCCTTGATCGTGGCATAGCTTATGGCATGACAGGGTTTGAATGGCGTTATCGCATCATGTTTGCCTAGATGACCCAAAAATAGTCTCCCCGAAATAGCCTGCAAATCTTCGTGAGCGTTTAGCCAAGAAACTGGAAAGTTTTAGGTCTCCTTTATGGATTATGCATCGTCCACTGTCATTCAACAGTCGCACAGAGAATAGCAACAAAAGGGCCACATATATGTTATTCTGTACGCTGCGTGGATTTTTCACTACATTTTACATTTTACATGTGCTTTTCTGAACATTTCTACATTTGTTCACATGCAACAAAGACGCTTTCATGATTCCCTGAAATACCGGGAAAATAGTTCGAAATGTCTCAGAAAAGCACTTCACGGACAGGAGACAAAAACAGACCGGACGTGACCAACAACTTGTTGCTGAAAATATAATTATAACGTTTATTTTCCATACGCCGATCCCTGGCTGGAGCCGTAGCCCTGACCTCCGGTCGGGCCACGTCCCCTTTTGACGTTGCTGCGACCCTCCTCCTCGCCATACGCGTTGAGGAACTTTGCCTCACCCTCGTACTCGACGTCGGCCACAAAGCCAGATTCGCCCTGGACCGAATAGGAGACGGTCTGGAGTCGGCCGTCGGGCAGCACGACGCTGTACTGGCCCTGCACCTCCTCACCGTTGGACTCCTCGGCCGCGCCAAAGTCGTTACCACGGACATCCAGGACGTCGTAGCTGAATGAGTAGGGCGTAGGAGGCTCTGTCTGTCCGTAGCCTCCGTTGGACTGCTGGCCATAACCTCCGTTGGACTGCTGGCTGTAGCCTCCGTTGGACTGCTGACCATAGCCTCCGTTGGACTGCTGGCTGTAACCTCCGTTGGACTGCTGGCTATAACCTCCGTTGGACTGCTGGCTGTAGCCTCCGCCAGACTGCTGGCTGTAACCTCCGTTGGACTGCTGGCTGTAGCCTTCGTTGGACTGTTGACCATAGCCTCCAATGCTGGACTGCTGGCCATAGCCTCCGTTGGACTGCTGACCGTAGGTCGGCTTCAGGCTAGACTCAAATGGTCTCCTCCGAGACTGCAGACCATAGCCTGATGATGCCGATGACGACCCATATTGAGACTGGGCACCAGAAGGGGCACCGTACTGGGACTGGGCACCGGAGGGAGCACCGTACTGGGACTGAGCACGAGAGGGAGCACCGTATTGGGACTGAGCACCAGAGGGAGCACCGTACTGGGACTGAGCACCGGACGGAGCACCGTGCTGGGTCTGGGCACCAGAGCCATGTCGATCCGCTGTAGCCACGAAGGCAAGGGCAGCTATAATCAGGATCTTCATGCTTGCCGAGAGGACTAGTTGAAGCAACTGTGCCTGGCCCACCGAGTCTCGCAGTTTTATACCGTGTCCGCTCGTGAGCATTCAATCACCGCCTTGGCAGCACCGACACGGAATCATGATTGCACAATCTGGCTGAAATGAGTATGCAGATTGTACGAGGTGTCGCGGGCGATCCGTGAGGAGATCAGAGCACGGGTGTTTCCTCACCTGACATCGGCACCGGTTTGTATATCATGTTCGGCGGATTGACCCGAAACACAGTGGGCAGCCAGCCCTCTGCTCAAACACGGCCTGGCCTCTACGATCCCAGTACGTAAACAGTCGTATTGCAACTCTTCGTATGTGAGACTTGAGAAGCAATGAAGTTGGGTGCACCTTGTAGACGAATAACTGTGAGACATAAGGGCATAAAGATATCCGGCCAGCCAAGGAGCACAAGGATCCATCGGGGCTGGCATGCCTCACGTTCCGTACACATCCTCAAAACTAATCACCCGACCTACATAAATTTAGCTATAAATGAGATCTTTAGACCAATAGAACTTGTCGAAGCAGTTTTTCAATATTGCTAGAGAGGGACTTTCCACAGCTTGGTTTGTTCGCCTATTCCAATGGTTCACTTCTCTTTCACTAAATGACATCTGCCTCTTCATAGTTCTACTCCTACCTTTTGCTAAATGAAACTGGTTTCCTCTATGTCTCGGCCTAATTTCCAGTGCTCCATGTAGATATACCTTGTCAGTCCCCTTCATAGTATTGTTCACCTCCATCAGATCCCCTCTAAGTTTGCAATATTTCATTGAATACAAATCCAAGGCCTAAGCCTATCCCTATATTATACGTCGCCAATTCCATTCATCATCCTAGTTGCTTTCCGCTGTGCTCTTCTACACATTTTTCTATACCCTACGCCCTGTGCTCTTTCGCCAGTCTATCTACACCCTATTGGAAGCGTGCGGACCAAGCCTGTACACAATACTCTTGGTGTGGTCTGACATAAGCCAAGAACAACTTCTCGACAACATTCCTACTCTTGTAATGGGCGTTCCTGTTAATAAGTCCAAGCATCCGAGGCGCCTTGCTCCTAGCAGTCCCACCTTGCCTTTCACTCTACAAATCCTTAGAAATTGTAAGCCCTAAATCCTTTTCTTCCTTAATTTGGTCTAGCTCCTGACCTCCCATTTTATAGCTAATACCCTCATTGCTGAAACTACCCAAGCGCATCACCTTACATTTGTCGTAATTGAATGGCATTTGCCACAGAGAAGCCCAGTTGACTAGTTTATTCAAATCAAGTTTAAATTAGTTCACCTGTTCAGCACCTTGCTCCATAGCCCTAGCTCAATATTATTCACAAAAATAATAAAGAGCAAAGAGTCCAACAACATCCGCTGTAGAAGGCTACTCTCTAGTAGCTCCCACTGATATTTTGTACCATTGAGCACCACTCTGCTTTCTGTTTAGAAGTCAAGTCCTCACCCAGCCAACAGTTTTTCCCTCAATGCCATGCGAATTTAACCGATAAAGCAGACGCTGGCGTGGCATCTTATAAAATGCCTTCCTAAAATCTGGAAAGACAACATTTGAACCATTGCCTTCATCTCCGCCTCCGTGGTCTTGGGGAAAGATGCTGGACTCGTAATCCAGCGGCGCTGGGTACGAGTCCCAGAGTGGACGCATTGTTTGACCCGACTGAAAAGGAAAGGCCAGCTGGCAACTGGCCAACGAGGTTCAACCCAGACCCGAGGCGGCCGTGTCGCAGCATTGTGCGGCACGTAAAACCCTCCGCATCCCTGTCTGGCGAAAGGGCGTAGGCAAAATTAGCTGTGGAACTGGACGGCACGCTTGGGTGGTGGGTTCGGGGTACACGCAACAAGCTATGCTTAGCAGGTACTCTGAATCCGAAGTCACCCTTACAAACCATTCGGAATAAATTTATTTGTTAAAAAAAATCTCTCTGACTAGTAATCTGCCCCATGAACTCTAGATGATGTGCCGAACAGAACCTACCTGAAAGAAAACCATGGTGACTTCTATTTATCAACTGATGCCTTTCTAAGTGTGACTGAATGCTAGCCTTAATCTCTAAGGCCTTACAAACTAGCGAGGTTAAACTCACAGGCCTGTACTTGCTGACACTTCTTAAGTCCCCTTCTAAAAAATCGGTACTACATTGGCATTGCGCCAGTCCTCGGGTCTTCTGAGAAACTCAATGATCCATTAAATATTAGCATAAGAGGATAAGCTAGAGCACTGACGCACTCATTCAACATCCTTCCATATATCTGATCAGATCCGACCACTTTATTAACCTTGATTTCCATCGATCTACCCTTTACTATACCCAAGGTAATCGTCAAATCTAAAAGGCTGCCTTCAGTCAAGTTTTGCCTAATTTGGAGGAGATTATACATAGTCTCCTCTGTAAAAATCGAAGGAAACTGCCTACTAAGGGCATCTACAATGTGCCTGTGCTCCACTAAAGACTTTCCACGTTCCTCGAGAGGGCCGACGGGTCTCTTAGATATGACTTTGTAGTAATTAAAAAACTTCTTAAAGTCGCCAGAGCTAGTCTCTGCTAGCCGCATTTCTGATAATGTTTTGCCTACCCCGATTTCCTGCTTAAGCTTTTTTGTTGCAATCCTATACTCTTGCTTGCTGCTTTCTGTGTCTCGCACTGTTTGCCCATCATTGCCCATCATCTTCTTTACTGCCATCAAATTGCGCCAGCCATGATAGCTTCCTAGAGCTATTTTCTCGCAATTTTCTAAAAGATATGAACCTTTCTGTCCTTCTTCTAAACTATCCTTGAATGCTTCCCACATTTGATGTACAGTGAGACCAGATAGAGCATTCTCCCACTGGATGCTGGCAAGAAAGGCTGTAAGTGCTTCAAATCTACCCGTAGGAAAAATAGAAATAAGGGTATGATTAGTCTTACCTGAAAAAATATAGACACGTTGAAAACCCTACAATATTATGGTCACAGTTTCAAAGTGCCTTACCTACTGCCAAAGCATCTACCTGCCCCTCCTCATTAGTCATAACCAGATCCAAAGTCTTTTCTCCCCCAGTGGGTTCGCACGCCACCTGCCGAGGAAATTTTCTCGTAATCCCCCAGCATCACACATTTTCCTTTCATACCTCTGCCAATTTCTTCACGTATTTCTGTGTCCAGATTCTGGCAACTATTCGGAGGCCTGTAGAAGGCTCCAATGCGTAGATTGTTGCCCTTTGACACAACCAAATCTAGCCAGAGGGATTCTACACTATGGCCAGTCGTCATACTTTCAACATTTTCACAGTATATTCTGCCTCACATATACTAATATCTCTCCTCCTTTTTCACTTTTCTGTGAAATGTTGACGTATTATTGTAACCAGATACTTCAAATTTATGTAAACTATCCCCGAAAAGCTGCTCGCTCATCCAAGATTCAGAAACAGCTGCCTGGTTCTCATCAAATGATCGCTACCCCGGGAATGATCGGCGGTGGGAATGAACCCACCGCCGACTCGCCACGAATCCATTATCTTCGCACGGGGCTACAAATGTGATCGTGATCGAAAATCGAATTTGATCTATATGATCGATGCTGAGATTAGAAAAAATGGAAATTGCCATCCTACATGTGCCCCTCCCATCTTAAGATGGCTGCTATCATATGACGTCACGCAAAGCTGGTCTGCTCAGAATGGGAATATTTTGTGGAAAAGTGGAGCCAAACATGTTCATTTAAATTACGTGGTATCTCCACCCACCAAGATTGCTTACCTTCACCGGAGGAATGTTCATTATGTATTTGCATGTGCGTTAGGTTTGAATAACGTGAGAAGAAGTGAACGTTTGTGACTGAGACGGCGGACAGCGCAAGTATTTAGCGACATGTGCATTGGTGGGCTTTGGAACATGAGCGTCACAAAACCACTCGATGTGCCGCTGGTATGTGCCTGCTTGCAAACACAACGACCCTTGCAACGAACTGAACATAGAAGTAAACCATGCTTACCAAAGCTAAAGTACCCTTCAAAATAGTCACTGCGCTAAATCCGACGGGCAGAAATCAAAGCCTTTGTGCGACGTTTCGTTGAATTCGCAGGAATTCCCAAGGTAGTGGCTTCATATGTGCACACCTTTTTGCTCAAAGAGCGGACTTTAAGCTCTCATACCAAGAATCATGTTATTTAATGTATTGAATTCATGGTGGTGGACAGGGAGTCCAATGGCATTTCCTTACCGTAGCAGCTGCTTTAAACCGAAATTCTCAGCTATTCAAAAAGACATTACGAAAAATTAGGATTACTAACCAAATCGGATACTCCGGATGAACTATAAGTGACAAGCGCAAAAATGTTCATGGACTCTGCGTGACAACTATGAGTGATAAGTACAAAAAGGTGGGATGCTTCCTGTAAAGCTGGATATAGATGCGCAGCTTTGACTCAGGCCCGGAAAATGGAGTGCGCAGAACGTAGAATGTACCTTTTCACTTAGAGCCGCAATATCTTCATCAATCCTAAACAAGTTGACAGTGCGTCGCCATTTATGGACAACTTCATAACAACAGTGGTCACACTGGCTGACAACTTCATGACAACACTGGTAACACTGGCTGACAACATTGGCGGAAATAGACCAGTAAGAAATGGAAAGAAAAATGCTGACAAGATTATCAGCATCGTGTTTAGTTCCCCCATCGTAGTTAAGTTTAGTGTTTCAGTCACCCAGAAGCAGATTTACAGCAAAGTGAGCTGGAGCAAAAGAAATTCCTGACAAAACTATCAGCACCATGTTTATTTTCCGTAGGCCGATCGCTGGCTGGAGCCGTATCCCTGACTTCCGGTCGGGCCACGTCCCCTCTTGACGTTGCTGCGGCCCTCCTCCTCGCCGTAGGCGTTGAAGAACGTGACCTCGCCCTCGTACTCGACGTCGGCCACAAAGCCAGAGTCGCCTGGGCCGTATAGGAGACGGTCTGGAGTCGGTCATCGGGCAGCACGACGCTGTACTGGCCCTGCACCTCCTCACCGTTGGACTCCTCGTCCGCGCCAAAGACGTTACCAGGCACGTCCAGTACGTCGTAGCTGAACGAGCACGGCGTAGGAGGCCTGGCCTGCCCGTAGCCTCCGTTAGACTGCTGACCGTACCCCCCGCCGGACTGCTGGCTGCCACCTCCGTTAGACTGTTGGCGCTCCCCCCCCCCGAACTGCTGGCCACTGGCCACATCCCACGCCGAACTGCTGGCTGTAACCTCCGTTGGACTGTCGACTGTAGGCTCCGTTGGTGGATTGCTGTCCGTACCCTCCGTTGCTGGGCTGCTGGTCATAGCTCCCGTTGCTTGGCTGCTAGCTGTAGCCCCCGTTGGACTGCTGGCCGGAGGTTGCCTTTAGGCAAAACTTAGATGGTCTCTTCCGAGACTGCGAACCGTAGCCTGACGATGCCGATTACGACCCATATCGAGACTGGGAGCCAGAGGGAGTGCCGTACTAGGACTGAGCACCAGAGGAAGCACCGTACTGGGACTGGGCATCAGGGAGAGCACCGTACTGGGACTGGGCATTAGGGAGAGCACCGTACTGGGACCGGGCACCAGAGGGAGCACCGCACTGGGACTGGGCACCCGAAGGAGCACCATACTGATTGGGCACCAGAGCCACGCCGGTCTCCTGCAACCACTCCAGCGAGGGCAGCTACAACCAGGATCTTTTCACTTGCTGAGAGGACTAGTTTGAGCAACTGTGATTGGCCCACTGAGTTTGACCGTTTCATACCGTATTCGCTGGTGAGCTTTCAGTCGCCGCCTTGTAGGCGGCGGCGACGGCAGCAGCACGATTGCGCAATTGAGATGAAAATGAGAATGCAAATAGTACGAGGTGTCGCGGGCGATCCGTGAGGAGATCAGAGCACAGGTGTTTCCTCACCTGCCATTGGCACTCGTGCGTGAATCATGCTTGGCAGATTGACCCGAACCACGGAGGGCGTCGTGCCGGTGCGTGACCTCGTAAATACAGCTCTTACATTATGACCTGCCGCTGAGCGGCGTAGTTGTACCGAGGAATTGTAAGACCTGCTCTATATGCGGCTTGGGACTGGCTCTTGGGGGCGCCCGACATGGTGTCCGTATGCCCACCGGTCGAAGAGGTCCGACGCTGTGCTGCGGCCACCAGTCGTGACTGTAGTTTGGATGGGTCATCTTTCTCTTGCCTTGTCCTCTCCTGCAAATGAATAGAAGCTGTTCGGGCATACAGGATATGGTGTTTGGGGTATCTTTGGTCAGTATGTATGGTTATTAGCTTGTACCAAAATAACTCGAAGAAATGTAAGACGTCGGATTGAGTTTAGAATGCATCTAAGGTATTGCTCGTTCCACGTAGTTTATGCTTGCAGTGGTATATCCTGTAAGTTGTTCTAATATGCTTACACTTTCAGAAACATTCTTGTAAGGTATATGCCTAAAGCTCTACAGCTTGTCCCGATCCAGTTTATATCTGCTCGTATGAAGTTGGTTGGCACGGCCCCACCGGCGAGCATTGCCACATGTGCTGCGTGCGCCATTTTGGAATCAATGTCCCTGCCGTGGTGACGGCTGATCTCATATATTTCTGAAAACTAGTTGGGCTCTTTCGCTATATCACGATAACGACAATCGTGACTATAACAGCACAAGGCGAGCGTTCGGTTGGTAAGCTCCTGACGTATAATTCAATATTTGTGCAGGCGTTACTCTGGCCATGCGCTTTCGCGCACTGGTGATTGGAGTATGGTGGGCGTCAAGGTCGGGCGGACTTGGTAGGGTTAATGTGTTCAGCGAGCTTTTGGTTAAGTTTTAGAATGATGTTTCTTTTTTCAAAGTGAACGGGATTATGTTTTGAGCGTAGACGGGGTATGCGATAAACAAAATATGGTCAGGTTTATCACGGAAGTGAAAAGAAATAGTTGGGCTGTGACGGTATCTTCTTAAGATTTTATTTTAGGTAACCTGTACAAACCATGTTTCCATGCTTCCTACCGAACGGAAGAAAGGAGAACTTGGCTGATTGAGAAGCGTTACTCGTCTGCTTCGGCAATAGCAGACAGCACACCCCAAAATCACCTCAACCGTCGCCCACCAAAATGGACTGGACTGGGCAAAGCGGGCTAGGCCCATTCGCTTAGGGTGCGTCTGTCCGCCTGTCCGTCCCATTCTACAAGTCGTTGTGACCGGCCCGAACAGCGCGTCACTGAGTTTTGCGATTTGTACACGCTGCGCCGGAGTGTGAGGCGTTTTTCCATGAGTAGCTCGCGAGGCTCCGCGGTCCGGGGTTCGGGCGTGGCACGTGCTGTATGGTGCACTTTTGGCTCATTGATTTTCCGCGGGAGCAAATGTGACCGACAACAAAGCTGGCGAGCAGCCGTTCTATGGCCACATCTCGCTAACCAGCGGTCGGAGCGACAGGAAATCGTCACGACTCGGTAGCGACAGGAAGTCGGCACGACTCGGCAGCGACAGGAAGTCGGTAGGACTCGGTAGCGACAGGAAATTGGCACGAATCGGCAGCGACAGGAAGTCGGCACGACTCGGTAGCGACAGGAAGTCAGCACGACTCGGTAGCGAGTCGGCAGGGGAGTCGCGTGGCTCTAGACGTGCAGTCGACGTGCCACACCCCGCGTGCACAGAGGTGGTAAAGATAGCTCCGCTCGGTTTTCACGGTTTTTACGTTGAATACCTATTTCGGCAGCCAGAGTGAGTGGTGGCGCGAGTCAAATTTCAAAGCGTTGACCAGCGAACCGTCCGCAATTCATATAGCCGATATGAATTTGTGCAACTCACGACTGCGCCAGTAATCGAAGGGAAAGTCGGGAATGCCGGCCTCTCGGAAAGTGGCGCCTAATACAAAACGCCATCGTCGAGTCAGCAGCCATGTCATCCTTCCCTCTTATTATCTTCTTTACTTCAGCCTAAATCCCCGCGATGCCCCTTCGACCGGGGCATGCTGCATGCCTCAGCCACCTGTGGGCTGATATGTCCCCTGTGGAGGGACCTACCGGGCGCCCAGCGCACGCCCCACAGAGGGGTTCCTGCGCGGACTCAGCCTCGGCGGTTGGCCTCCCAGGTGCATGTAATCCTGCCTTCCGTTATCCACTCTCCATCTCATAGCCCTGAAAAAGTCATGTCTGGCCGGAAGGGCTCCAAATCAAACAATTAACGGTAGCCATTCTCTCGATGAAATTCACACCATCGCGTGAACCGGGCCAATGCCTGCTCTCACCACAAATTGAGTAGTTATTTTGTGGCTATCTCGTCCAAACATCAACTTTAGTTAAAGGGCTGCGATCTCGCATTTTTGCGTCGCCAAAATGCCACCGATCGGTGGCTCAGTTGTCACCGGTGAGCATTGTAAGCAGCTGAACAACCAAACGTGCACATGCCGAATACAACTGTCTTGCTTTAGTTTATTCATTCGTTGCGGAGAAAAAGGTCAGCCTAAGTGATAATCGAACGCAGTACTCAAGCCCAATGGTTTGAGAAACGCCAATGGAACCACACACATCGGGCGAAGAATAATTTACAATGAGTGCGTTAACAGGACTCAACAAATTTAGTCATTTTTTCTTCAGTAGAGCCCGCTGCTACGGCAAACAGTGCTCCAATTGAATTTGTGAGGTGTGCTTTGTAGTCAATGCAGAGTCTGACCACGCAAACACGTTGCAGCAGTATTGAGCAAATGTGCAGCAGCGAAATTAAGAGAATATTGGCTTTTACAACGGCAGCAAGAACGGTTTCCTTGATGCTTTTGTAATGCATGACAGTGCTTCAGCAGCAGTGGTTGTCTCAATAAGCAGTACACCTGAATGCCCCAAAATATTGTTCTGGGTAATTTATTTTACTGTTTTGATATGCTTCACCAGCTTTGAAGCATGACCCTATAGGGCAAAATAGGGAAGCGCTATGGCAGCGTTTGTCTCAGACTCGAATTAATGCTTTCCCAATGGGCTCACGATTGCGTACTGAAACAGACAGTATGTCATACTATATGATGTGCATACTCAGCACATCACAAGCGGCTGCATACGGGCAGCTCGGCAACCAGAATTGGGATCGGTCAGGAACTCCTATGGACGGTGTTCAATGCATCCTGAAATAAGGCGAGCGCAAATCGCTCAGAGAAACGTAACAGGCCTTTCCTTTGTTCTGAAGCCAATGTCCCACAATTGAAGATATTGAAGCAGGCATTAGATATGATTGAAGAAGTACACTTATAACTCTTGCATGTACTTTTAAGTGAAAAAGAGTGTTCCAGACGGCACAATTTCTTTGTTTAGTGACCATGCTTCTCAATAAGTCATTTTTGATTGCGACATCGTGCCACGCACATTGGGAGGCAAATGACGTCTCTTATGTCTGGACATCGTGCTCTCGAGCGCCAGATGTTAAAGACTCGACACTCATATTCTGTTTGGCCTTGATCGGCGTATAGATACTGGAATGGCAGGATTTCAATAACAACATTATGACATCATGGATGCTTGCTTCCGCGACTGGAGGGGTTTAGGCCTTAGAAATGACAGGGCTGTGAACTGCACCAAATGATGTTCAAGACGGCCATTTCAGTTCAAAAGCTATACAAATGTGGCCCACTCTCTATAAAGGAGCCAGCTCCGCCACTTAGCAAGGCGAGCCGGCAAGCACTTGCTTGCCCATTGGTTAAATTTAGGTGGCAAACCAACGCTGGGGTCCAAACCAACGTTAGGGGGCCAGGGGTTTTACAAAAGGATACAGATCGACATCCGGTGGTTGTAGGGCATCTATCGTGGCGCTGCAAATCTGCGCAACTCCATGCGTACAATAACTACGGGTGAGCATAGATTATTTATGCATCATTTTTCTTTAGTCAGCAAACATAATAAACATGACACAACAAACATTTTCTGATTAATTTATTGTTTCGACCACATACACTTTCCACAACCAATTAACACATTGACATACCTCAAACACCAAACATATTGTTATGCTCCAAAGCATTTCGGACTGTGCAATTATAAGTGCTCTAAGAATGCATGCAAATACGCAGCAAGGAAGAAAAACTGAGTCACGAACAAACGGTCATCCGAAAGCAGATTTACAGCAAAGTGAGCTGGAGCAAAACAAATTACTGACAAAGTTATCATCACCATGTTTATTTTCCATACGCCGATCCCTGGCTGGAGCCGTAACCCTGACCTCCGGTCGGGCCACGTCCCCTCTTGACGTTGCTGCGACCCTCCTCCTCGCCGTAGGCGTTGAAGAACTTGGCCTCGCCCTCGTACTCGACGTCGGCCACAAAGCCAGAATCTCCCTCAACCGAGTAGGAGACGGTCTGGAGTCGGCCGTCGGGCAGCACGACGCTGTACTGGCCCTGCACCTCCTCACCGTTGGACTCCTCGGCCGCGCCAAAGTCATTGCCACGCACATCCAGCACGTCGTAGCTGAACGAGTACGGCGTAGGAGGCTCGGTCTGTCCGTAGCCTCTGTTGGACTGCTGGCCATAGCCTCCGTTGGACTGCTGGCCATAGCCTCCGTTGGACTGCTGACCATAGCCTCCGTTTGACTGCTGGCCATAACCTCCATTGGACTGCTGGCTGTACCCTCCGTTGGACTGCTGGCTGTAACCTCCGTTGGACTGCTGTCCGTAGCCTCCGTTGGACTGCTGGCCATAGCCTCCGTTGGACTGCTGGCCGTAGGTCGGCTTCAGGCTAGACTCAAATGGTCTCCTCCGAGACTGCAGACCATAGCCTGACGATGCCAATGAAGACCCATGTTGAGACTGGGCACCAGAGGGAGCACCGTACTGGGACTGGGCACCAGAGGGAGCACCGTACTGAGACTGGGTACCAGAGCGAGCACCGTACTGGGACTGGGTACCAGAGGGAGTACCGTACTGGGATTGAGCACCAGAGGGAGCACCGTACTGGGACTGAGCACCGGAGGGAGCACCGTACTGGGACCGAGCACCAGAGGGAGCACCGTGCTGGGTCTGGGCACCAGAGCCACGTCGATCCGCTGCAGCCACGAAGGCAAGGGCAGCTATAATCAGGATCTTCATGCTTGCCGAGAGGACTAGTTGGAGCAACTGTGCCTGGCCCACCGAGTCTCGCAGTTTTATACCGTATCCGCTCGTGAGCATTCAACCGCCGCCTTGGCAGCACCGACACGGAATCATGATTGCACAATCTGGCTGAAATGAGTATGCAGATTGTACGAGGTGTCGCGGGCGATCCGTGAGGAGATCAGAACATGGGTGTTTCCTCACCTGACATTGGCACGGGCTTGTATATCATACTCGGCGAATTGACCCGAAACACAGTGGGCAGCCAGCTTTTTACTCAAACACACCCTTGTCTTCAGAATCGGACAAAGCCTCGTGTAACGACTTTGTAACGCATTTCATCCGGCGCAAATATCCGCTCGCAAATATTCGTGTTTACAAAACCCCCTACCCACAAAGGTTTAGTTTTATTTCTTCTCATACGCATTTTTTTCCATTTGATTTCGTAGAATATGCGAATCGGTGCATCATATTTCGTAACATACGCAACTCTGTGCATCGCGCCGACATTTCTGCACACACGTGTATCTTTGCGCGAAATCTCTGCTCGTTGCATGCCGTCTTAAGCGCTTCGTTGCGCATGACATTCTCTGCCCAACGGAATCTTACTCATAAAATATCTGATATTTGAGCAAAAATTGTCATGCTGTTTCATCCTGCACGCGGCTGCGCTGCTGCTTCGCAGCCATCCGTTTCTACTTTCATTCCTTTCTTAGAAGACCGGTACTTACAGATCCTGTTTTCGCCCCAACGTGTACATTGCGTGCAGGCCCAAGGCGAGATCCTATCAGTTTCCGCATGGGACCTTACATAGCTGGTGAATGGTGTGATTACCTCCCGCTGCATTCATTTGACTTTATGGGCCGGTTGGTAAAACATCATGCGCTCGGGTCAACGTTCTGGTGTTCGTATTGCGCTTCTAAACTCTGTGCCACGCGTGTGTACATTGTTGTTGATTTGTGCCAATCGACGTCAGCATCTCGTCTTAGGCCTGTACGCGATGCATGCGCCGATTCCACAAAGCATGCCTTACTCTTCGCACCTGCGTGCTGGGAACTCACGCGAGGTGGGGGCGGGGGGGGGGGGGGGGGCATGCTCCGCGCGTCCCTCCACAGAAGCAGCTCCTCGCTGCTGAACTTATGAAATGTCCACGGCAGTTATCAGGGCCGAGTGTACATATGGAGGTGGTACACGTCATGCCTATGTGTCCTATTTGCTATAAGCAATTGGGTTAACATTCAGCTGATTAGGTGCCATGTGGCACCCAGCATGCGTCATTTTTTATCACTACACAAGACCAAAGCGAACCGATGATGACAGCGTTTTCGGACGTTCAAATCCAGGGCGTCTGGCCAGAACTGCATTATGTGCTGTGATATTTTTTAACGTGATATCACTCATCTCTCCTGTTGATTCGCTAATTCCCCATCCAATTCCCAACCATTAGGCATTTATCAGGACCCCGAAAGGTTCTGTACAAATACAGATGCAGACTGCTTATCGATAACATCAACAGTGTATCATTAATTGGTCGCCGGTCGGCAACCGTGATAAGCACGACACCAGAAAATCGTATAACCATATTTATTGTTTCAGTAACACGCTTACACATGAAACAAACAGACTGCCACACCTTCAAACATACTGTGTCATCCAACATCAGGTGTTTCTAGAGACACATTCTCAAAGATAGAAAACGAGAAGAGACGGGGCACGGCTAAACGGTCACACAAAAGCAGATAGGGAACAAAAGAACTGGAAAGAAAAGACTCTGACAAAGCTATCGGCACCGTGTTTAGTTTCCATACGCTGATCCCTGGCTGGAGCCGTAGCCCTGACCTCCGGTCGGGCCACGCCCCCTCTTGACGTTGCTGCGACCCTCCTCCTCGCCGTAGGCGTTGAAGAACTTGGCCTCGCCCTCGTACTCGACGTCGGCCACAAAGCCAGAGTCGCCCTGGACCGAGTAGGAGACGGTCTGGAGCCGGCCGTCGGGCAGCACGACGCTGTACTGACCCTGCACCTCCTCACCGTTGGACTCCTCGGCCGCGCCAAAGTCATTACCACGCACATCCAGCACGTCGTAGCTGAACGAGTACGGCGTAGGAGGCTCGGTCTGTCCGTAGCCTCCGTTGGACTGCTGGCCATAGCCTCCGTAGGACTGCTGGCCATAGCCTCCGCTGGACTGCTGTCCGTAGCCTCCGTTGGACTGCTGGCCATAGCCTCCGCTGGACTGCTGGCTGTAACCTCCGCTGGACTGCTGGCTGTAACCTCCGTTGGACTGCTGGCTGTAGCCTCCGTTGGACTGCTGGCTGTAACCCCCGCTCGACTGCTGGCCATAGCCTCCGTTGGACTGCTGACCGTAGGTCGGCTTCAGGCTGGACTCAAATGGTCTCCTCCGAGACTGCAGACCATAGCCTGATGATGCCGATGACGACCCATATTGAGACTGGGCACCAGAGGGGGCACCGTACTGGGCCTGAGCACCAGAGGGGACACCGTACTGGGACTGAGCACCAGAAGGGGCACCGTACTGGGATTGAGCACCAGAGGGGGCACCGTACTGGGACTGAGCACCAGAGGGGGCACCGTACTGGGATTGAGCACCAGAGGGGGCACCGTACTGGGACTGGGCACCAAAGCCACGTCGATCCGCTGCAGCCACGAAGGCAAGGGCAGCTATAATCAGGATCTGCATGCTTGCCGAGAGGACTAGTTGGAGCAACTGTGCCTGGCCCACCGAGTCTCGCAGCTTTATACCGTATCCGCTCGTGAGCATTCACTCGCAGCACCGACACGGAGTCATGATTGCACAATCCGGCCGAAATGAGTATGCAGATACTACGAGGTGTCGTGGGCGATCCCTGAGGAGATCAGAGCACGGGTATTTCCTCACCTGGCATTGACACTAGTTTGTATATCATGCTCGGCGGATTGATCCGTAACACCGTGGGCAGCCACCCCTTTACTCAAACACAGCCTGACCTCCAGGATTCCAGTACACGAGTCGTCATATTACAGTTCTTCGTATGTGAAACTTAAGAATGATCTTATCGCGACCATGATATCTGCATTGTCCCCATGCGCAGAATTTTGCTCCAAATATTCCTATTCATAAGATATCGCACACGTCGTGATGTCTGCGGCATTTATGCACGCGCGCATTCTTCCACACCGGATTTCGTCGTACATGCTATTCTTTGTTAGGCGATTTGTCGCACTCGAAGCTCCTTGTATCGCACGGAGCTCTTTGTATCGCACGGAGCTCTTTGTATTTGCCTCTACGGTTCTTCATGTCGCGTTTCTGCTCGCTGCATTTCTTCACAAACGTGGCTCTTTGTATCACCATTTTTGCCGAACAGAATCATTTAAATGAAGCATATGGCATTTGTATAAGAAACGTTTGTATTTCCTTGTCTTGATCGTTGGTGTTCCGCTTTTCATTCCCGTTGTCTTTCTTACGCTGTTCTTCAACACACGCCCGGGTGGCCGGCTAGTTACCCTTCGCTCGGGTGGAGGGGGGGGGGGGGGGGCAATTTGATTCCCCTGAGATCTCGGGGACTAAGAAAGTTAGAGACACAAAATTTACAGAGTTTGTTGACCTGTACATGAACTCACTTAGGTCAAAGTTTGGTGTTCCTAGGCATGGTCTCTGAAGTGCCCCCAGAACCTAGGCAACTGTTTCTAAGCAATAGATCAAAAGCCTTTTTCAGGTCCGTGACCTTGTTTGACCTTTTGAAGGTCATGGTGACCAAAATCATACAAGACTGCTCTGAATTTGGCCTTTGAATTAGCGACAAAGATTACGCTAGGCTCCAGTATGCTCCTAAAACAAAATGTTGACCCGGGTCATCTTAGATCAGCAACCTGTTCTGACCTTTAAGAAGTCAATGGAAAATGGAAAATGCGGTTCCTGCTGTCAATAAATTCGAAATAGCACCACAAACTATCCCATACAGCAAGCTCTAAAGAAATAAATCAGGTTGGTTTTTACCTTGGTCTGACCTTCATACCGGACCTTAGGTCAACATAATTTGCCCATGTAATATTTGTGGTGCCTAAGAAAGCATCTTAGAGATGTATGGATTCGTCAAACACTCCGTTATTGTATCAGATTGGACGATTCACTAGAAATTGCCTTCGCTGAAACCATGGCCTGACTTCGTCCTGCCATAGGTCAGCGATTTGACGAAGTATATCTTAATGTTTTATATCAAACGATTTGCTATTCAATTGTCTACAGCTATGCAAAACTTGGCGCGGCCGCATCGTGCCGTTCGGAAGCCATTCTGGAAAAACCTTGGGGGGTCAATTTGATCCCTCCCACCCGAGCGCGTGTTAAGAAGGGCAGGGCTGTGAACTGCGCCGAACGATCTTCAAGATTGGTATCTTAGTTCAAAACCCCATGCAAGTGTGGAACACTTCCTTTATGACCCCGGTATGGAGCGAACATTTTTCTCGTCCCACTGTACAAATCATGGTTTTCATTCTCCATCCGTGGCGCCGCTTAGCTGATGAATGGCGTGGCTCTGCTGATACATTCATCTGATCAAATAGCTGGGTTGGTAAAGCATTGTTCTACCGTGTCAATATGCCACAGACATTGGAGCTCGCACCACAAAAACCGACACGCTCACCTTCATGTAATCAGATATGCAGTTATGTTGAGTCGGTGGTCTCCAAAATTATTCAACGGTCCTGAAAAGGACTTCATCATTCTTGTGCGGATCAACCTAAGTATCTAGACTATTGGCTGAGCAGACACGTACCTCGTTCCCACTGTTGGTCCTAGGTTCGCACTTTCCCTCAAGAATGCGAGACTCTGAATCCTGATCCCGGCTGGTTCTTTCATGAGCATTAGCGCTGCGTTCCTGGACCCATTTTGGTTTTGGAATTACACAAACCTAGTTCCTGGCTTTCACTAGTCCTTTTGAAACCACAAGATCTAGGCTCCTAGTTTTCACTGGTATAGGTTCCTACAGCACCAGAACCTCGTTCCTAGCCCCCCCCCCCCCCTGGCTCCTACAACACCAGAACCCTCGTTCTTGGTTATCACTGGCTTTCCACAAACACCAGAGCCTAGTTCCTAGCTCTCTTTGGTTCTTCCACCACCATCGAAGGAATGAACAAAGTGTGCCACAAGTCTTGCTCACTCTTCCACCATCTGTAAATACTCACACACACACACACACACACACACACACACACACACACACACACACACACACACACACACACACACACACACACACACACACACACACAACACACACACACACACACACACACACACACACACACACACACACACACACACACACACACACACACACACACACACACAGCGAGCGATCGCGGAACAGTCGCCGATCGCTCGCGGCGGCGACTGATCCGCACCGCACGAGACTGCACGCGCTTTGCCGTCCACCGCACGCGTCTGCCGTGGATGGCCATGCATAGTTCGTATAAGAACATCCCTAATCCAGTGTTTTAACTAACGTGCCGAGCCGAGATCTAGCCGGTGAGAACAGCACATGGCACGCGCCGGTAGCAGCGTCGGCTTATCGCCAGTTGCGCGTCTGCCCCCCGTTCCGCTCATGCATGCCGAGACGATTCCTACCCCCTCTGCGGACGCCCTAGACATGCCGACGGAGAATGCTGTACCGCCGTGGATGTACGTGCCATCAGGGCGCAGCTAGAAACCTTGGCAAAGGGGGGGGGGGGCGTACAGGGTTCAAAGTCTCCCCGATAGTAAAAGGGCCTCCCCAAAAATCCCCGATGTGGTCCATTTATTGCTGAGAGCATGGTTTTGATATTATATTTATATACATCCATATAATATATACATATAACTGCATATATGTATTACACATTTTCATCTCCTATGAGTCACATATAGGCCAGACTCAAGATCAATGCTGCCCTAACGTTTGCTGTAAATATCCTAACAAAATCATGCGTTAAATGACTGCATGAAATAAATGGTCCAATGAACTCGTTTTTAAATGAATAGAATTCAGAATCGTTGCTAGAATTTTATTTGGTTTGTACAGAGATAGCAGGGATTCCGCTAATGCCAATAAAATATCAAAATGGGTCAATAATTGTTTCAAGATAGACAACCCATTTTTGTCTGGATAAGCTCAACATCCATTTATAATTGAAAGGTTTAAAAACTATGCAACGTAGCTTTGAGGACGCGCGCTCGAATATCTTGTAAAAACGCGACGTCAGACGTTGCAGTCTCTTTAGGCCGCGCAGCTTCGGTCCCGTGGCCAAGACTAGACCGTGGCCAACAGATGAACAAAAATGGTGACGCATCTTAAAAGTATCTTTGAACGTCTTGAACACCACATCGTACATCTAGAGACATTCCAGGCTATATGTCTTACCTGTGCAGTATTTAGATTGATGACAATAATGATGACAATAAAAGATGAATGATACCCGTCCCTGTTGAACAAATCGTCGCTGCCGATTGGTTGTTGCTGACAACAGAATGTCTGTGGGCACTGTGAGCCCCTGAATAATACAGGAGCCCGACCGATGTAATGTGGCGGGACCGGCCTTGTCCTTTCTTGGGAAAATGGGCTCGCAGACTCAAAGTAACATGGAGTCCGGTTATTCGTTTTTTGTGATCTATGGCCGAAATACAGGAACGCTCTGTCTCAGGGGTCCCTATCGGTGTAAGAGATCATCTTCCTGACATTTAAAGATCATGGCCCTATGGGCGGGGTCCTCAATGTGACCTACAGCCAGCCCTCGGACCCTTCAGCCATCCCATCGGGCCCTTGATCTTTGGTCTCGATAGACCCTTCGGCCCCTCTCCGAGCCACCTCAAACAACCGCTCCGACTTGGGGTCACTTGCCGCCACAGGACCCCCTGTTCGGCACTGTGGCCCCTAACCGCCAGAGGAGCCCCTCACTGTATCAGGAAGCCCGAACATTGAAAATCACGGACCCCGGCCTCATATCCTGTTTAGGGAATGATGGTCTCAAGGGCTCAGACGCACATGGAGCCGACTGTTCGGTATTCGTGGTCCCTGACAGATTTAGACGCCGCATGGTCTCAGAGGTTCCTTAACAGTGCAAGAGAATCTCTGACTTGATATTTCAGGTCACCAGCCTACGGGCGGGCGATTCTCTATGTGGCTAACAGTCAGTCCTTTGGGCCGTGTGTTCTCCAACCGGGTGTTTAATTGTCGAGTCCGGTGGGCCACTCGGGCCCCTCTCTTCGGGCCTCATCGAGCACTTCTCTTGATTGGCTCGTGGGCATGGCGAGCACAGGGCCCTCTGTTATGCGCTGGTGGTCCCTGACAGATCCAAAGCATTCGACCAGTGTAAGTCATTGGCCCCGGTTGTTATGGTTGATTCGAAAGTGGGTCCTCAGCCTCACATCGCACACAGCGCCGATTATGTGGGTACGGTAGTACCCGACCGACGTATAGG